TTCTTGTTTTACTTAAGATTGTTCTAAAGACAAAACTTAATTCCTGAAAATGTTAAGAAGAACGCAAATTTTCTGAAGTGACATCAACTATAGATAATCTAAACAATGATCTGTTGTGATTATGCATGATGTGACTTTTTGCTGAATTTGTAATTTAGGAACAACTCTACAAAAACGGGTTGTGGCTAGAAGGGATACAGCAAAAACCGGAAGCTAACATTAAATTGAATTTTCTACCTATTAGATTGTGTTTTATAAACGTCTACACCTACCCCAATCCTAAACCTACCCCTTACAACAATACAAACATAGTAATTATTGTTGTACAGTGTGAGAAAAATTACGCTATGTTGATGTGCGCATGCCCGGGAGTTTTTGCTGTATGCCATCTAGCCTTAACCACAAAAACGCACACACGTACGCAGATACACAACGAAAGAGCGCAAAAAGTTGGTGCGCAAATGCATGACACACGGCACATTAAAAAAACGCGACGCTGAGTGATGAACACCTGTCAAGCTACCCCTTAGTGAAAATTAAACATGGTTTTACTTCACTAATCACAGTTTAACCATGGTATTTGTAGTGAAACCATAGTTAATTTTCGCAAGGGAGTCGCGACGGAAATAGTGCACGCGTTTATTATGATTACAGTAACATGCCGACAGCACAAAAACACGGCATTTATGGTGTTTTTCATCGAGTTGATCAGCAAGTCTTCGGCAAGAACCGCCATACAGATTACAATTTAACTTAAAAGCTTATGAAGACCTCCGTGAATCCGGACCCAACACTCTCAAAGGAGTTTACGTTTAGTGTCGAATTCGCAGGATCTCATTAGTATGTTTTTGTACCGGGGGACCATCATGTTTAGTTTTTTTATTAAAAATTGTATAAATTCATACGAAATCACCAACCCCTACTGGGGTTTAATAACTATAACTCATTCAGAATGTTCACCTACAGTACATACTGTCAAAATAAACTGCGTTCACGTCACGTCGTAATTACCGTAATTCCAAGATGACAACACGTGACGTTCTAAGAGCTACGACTTAGACCATGTGACCACTGTACCACCTGACCACCACAAGATTCATTTAGGCACTTCTTTGGCACTACCTCTGAGTAGAACGTCACGTGTTGTCATCACAGAATTACGGTAATTATGACATAGCTTGAACGCAGCTACAGTACGATTTGTAGTATGCAATTTAGTGCATAGCCGCTGCTAGAACGGCGACAGACTTCAGATCATGAACTTCCTCAATGTCTGCCTCATTAATATTCATAGTGTTCGTACAGTCGCAATAACGTTCACATTTATTGTACATTTGTATTTTTTAACAGTCGTTATGAAAATACAGTACCAGTTTTAGACAACTACCCAGCAAACACAGAACATTCCCCTAACGTTAGTTTTTTGGGGGTTTTTTTTGTTGTTGTTTGTTATTTTGAACCAAGAAATAATGTTCTAGGAACGTTCTTTTTAGGTTTTATTTTTTGCAACCATAAAATAACATTTCCAGAATGTTGCAGGGTGGTTATTTTTTAATAACCTAAAAATAACGTATAAAGAACGTTCCCTAATGGTTATTTTAGGTTATTTTGCAACCATAAAATAACGTTCCCAGAATGTTGCAGGGTGGTTGTTTTTAAAATAACCTAAAAATAACGTATAAAGAACGTTCCCTAATGGTTATTCTTAGGTTATTTTTATAACCCTGTAAACTATCTTTCCGATGAAAACGTTACCGATGTTTTTGTGTAATGGCCTATACAGAGAAATTCGTTTAATACAGCATTTACTAAAACACAGAAATTAGATCATTCAAAAAACGTTTTAAATTATAACATTAAGCCAGGGTTCGGCATAGAGTGATAACAGAAATCATAAATTCGTGGGTTTGTTTCATCTTCATTTCCTGCCCGCGCTTCGCTCGCGGAATTTAAAAATTTGCTGTAATTTCGTTTTACTGGCCAATTGACTCGTTCGTCTATCGACTGAATGCTTCAAATTAATATAGTTATAAGAGTAAATATGATTTCGGAGGGATTTAAAATACACGTGTTTTGGCGGGGTTCCCTTGGTAAAATTCGCATTCCAGGCAAAAACCGCTGACCTGGCAACACTGGCTGGATAATTACTGACGTCCAGTGGGGTAATCATATCGGTGTGAAGAGGTTAGAGGAACGTTAAAATAACGTTCTACAAACCAAAAACTAACGTTCTATTTCCGTTAAGAAAATTTTCCTGGCTCACCAAAAACAAACCTAACTGGGTAAAGCGGGATTACGATCAGGGCTTAAGCTGTCAATCAAATTCAAAAAATCAAACCGTCAAAATCTAACCGCCAAAACCAAACGGTCATAAATATGCAAATGAGGGCATTCACACAGGCTTTACATGTGTAGAGTGTGAAATCAGTGTGAAATCGTACTCACCTGGTCGTGGAAATACGGAGATGAGGCTGCCAGCACACACCGGTGCGCGCGGAACACCTGACCCTGCACCTGAATGGACAGGTCACACAGCTGACCCTCCTCGCGCTGCCGGTTCAGATTCTCCAGGACCGACGCGCGGGCGCTGGGGAAACACACCTGCAGCACCGGGCCTAGCGGAGCGCTGCGGCCGACGAGCTGCTCCATCCTGCCGGCGAGAGAAACACCCGCGACCGCGGAGGAGGTGAGAGCCGGAGCCGAACCAGGGTCTGATATCACGGGTATATGCTCACAGAAAACGGGTTCAGGCCCGCAGATCAGATCCGCTCGACCGGATCGAACTAGCATCTCATAGCAGGCTATAACAACACATCAAGAGCTTATGAGCGCTTATAAACGCACGTATGAGAGCAGGTGATCATGTGTGTTTACATCAACATGCGACAAAGATCCCATCCAACACGACTCGGCTATGCGCAGAGAAACCGCTAGCTTTAATTACAGACATGTATCCGATGTGTTAATCATGCGCTGATCAGTTTAGCGAAATTAAATATGAATGTGTTTTTAATCTCACCTTGCGTTCACTGTGATGGAGCTCTGCGGAACAGAAATAGAGACACGCCCCCTTTCCGAAGACCCGCCCCTCATATAATATACAGTACAGTCTGTGTAGTTTACAAAGTGTAATTATGGTGTTCACATAGATGCATTCAAAATGGCGCGGCGCTTGTTTTATTATAGAATAGAATAGAGTCTATAGGTGCATCAATGCAGCATCCATGTGACAGTGTCACCGCTACTGCTGTGAGCGGAAGGTCGGCGTCATGAATATTAATTAGGTTACGCCACAGGATGCTGTATCAGGAAGATTGTGCGTGCGTCATTAATATTCATGAGCTGACTCGCGCAGTACTGCGGTCCGCGTGCGCCGCTTGCTGTCTGACTGGGTTTCACAAACATCCTCCCGTGAATAAATCTTTAAAACATCCCGCGTTATAGAATCATTATTGAACACATTTAATTTAACGTTTTTGTGTTTTAGAAATTAAAGTTTTTTTTTTTTTTACTCGCTGTATTCCCCTACCTGTTCTTGTTCGCTGCTGAATTATTTAGGTATTGCGAAAACGAAACAAAAAAACATAATTAGATTATTAAAATGATGTTAATTAACTAGATCGCTCTATGTAAAATGTCCCAGATTGAACCAAAACGGCTAGCTTCATCTGTAGTCCCAGAGCAGGTTGGCGTTTGGAAAAAATAAAATAAAACCGCTCTTGTTAAATCTTTCAGATCAGTTGTTTAGAGCGATCTAGTTAATTAAAATCATTTTAATAATCTAATTATGTTTTTTTGTTTTGTTTTCGCAAGACCTAAATAAAGGGACTATGGGAAATGGAGTTCAACACATGTAACACAGAAACGGGAGAGCGCCCTCAAGTGGCCAGTCCAGGGCACCACAACCAGACACTGACAAAACATTTATTTATTTATTTAATGTAACACTTTAGTTATTAACTAGTTGTTTGTATATTACTATATTAGCCGTTTATTAGTCACACACACACAAACATTTATTTATTGTAACACTTTAGTTATTAACTAGTTGCTTGCATATTACTATATTAGCCGTTTATTAGTATTTATAAAGCACTTACTAGTGCATTATTATGCGTGACCGTATTCTACATCTTACCCTATACCTGAACAGTAATTAATAGTTTATTTAGGCAAAAGTCAATAGTTAAGTTAATAGTGAGAATTGGACCCAAAACTAAAGTGTGACCATATATATATGTCTGTGTCTGTGTCTGTGTGTGTGTGTATATATATATATAGTTCCAGGCACAGATATGAGTCGTTCCAGTCGCTGTATTATGTCTTCTGTCTAGGGTCATATGCAAAGAAGAAACATGGAAAAATAGTGTTATACCATGCAGACAGAGAACATCATCTATACAATGCTATGTGCCATGTTTTATTCACCCATCCCTCTAGAGAGATGGACACTGTTTTCTTGCTGCTGTCATCAAGTGCTTGCTAATGAGGGA